TTTCATAAAAAATTATTGACAAAAAAATGTTAATGAAAAATATTTGAATATTATATTAGAACAAGGTGTATGCTAACTTTTGACGCTGTTCGTATCTACATACATATACGTTATGTTTCAGAGCGAAATTCAAAACAAGGTACATACATATGTATACGTATGTATAAGAAATTATTTTTTTTTATCACTCACTATAGCATTATGAGTAGCTTTAGTAATACATATAGTCATATAATATAAGTAATAATAAAACATTGTTTTTGTTGCATAAATATGAAATTTTATTAACTTCAGTGCAATTGGTGTTAGGTGAGCTTTTTTACTGCAGTTACAGCAGATTGTGATGAATTGATAAACTCCTCCTTTTTTGAAGTCTGTTAAAAACCTTCATAAATACGCGAAATTGTTATTTTGCATTAAGTTTAAAGATTTGACAGCCTCATTGCGTAAGTCGTAAATTAGGCTGAATTGTACGACTCGACAACATTAGCATTGTCTCCTGTCGTGCTGAAACGACGAAAATTGTCGAAAACTATGCAGTGCTGCCAAGTTTTTCCGTTTTAATACACTAGTCGAGTGGAAATTTTAGGCAATGGCGCTAAATTTTCGATACGATTCGACTCTCGAAAAACGACTTGCATTCGGCACGACTCTCGCTATGAGGCTAAAAACGTGGTACAGAGCTCAATAACACTTGTCAGCTCGTAGACGAATTCAAAGTTGTTCATCTTACCGAAGACTACACGGATGAGCGCTCGACTGTCCATAAAGATACGCTAATGAAGATTGTTAATACTTCAGCCTGGAAAACCGCGGACAATCTGCTCATTGCAATTGAAATTTTGATCTCAGGCTCATCTTCATCCGACTGTGTACCAAAGTACATACCTATCTGAGAACAAAGTCATTGATCAGTTTTCACGATCTTTAATATTCACTAGGAGCTTTGCACCTAAATAGATTTTCACGTCAAGGAGTCCGAAAAGCATCTTTCCAACTATGATATCTCCCCAAGAACCCCTGTTTTGGAGCTTCTTTTTACAGTCCTACCAAATTTTCTTAGAAATCATTTATTTGCTATTTATTAAACTTTTATAAAAATCCCTCGATATAACGCAAAAATGTAATGCCTTTTAGAAGAAAAAAAAAATGCCGTGCTCGAGCTGAACTGCTTTTTGGTAAATATTTTTCTTTATACTGATTCAAATCAAGAAGCCCTAATCACTTATTCGCAGCTTCGAACTCTTTTGAGTTATATTTAAAAACTAGTTTCACAGCTGCTAAATGCTACTTTATTTTTATTTTTTGCCTACTTTAACCGCAAAACAAAAAAATAAATTAAGCCAGCCACTTTTTGAGGATGACAAAGAATTAGTCATTATCTCTCAACACAAATTTGCTAATTCATGTGCCGAGGTTCGCGAAAATTACTTTGAAAATTGAAAGTAATTTTATTGCTGTAGTGTAGGAAATTACTAACCACATTTTCAATTATAATTGTATGTACGTATGTACAGCATTCATACATACCCTCCCGGACAAAAGTATTGGCACAGAGAATTTTTTGCAAGCTCTGCAAAGTTTTTTATTCTAATTTCTTTTCCTTTTTATAAGAATATAGTTAATACTACAACAAAAAACATAAAAATAAAATCTCGAAACTTTGTGCAAAACTCAGGAAAATTCGGGTACTCATTTGCAGCCTTCTAATGAGTTTTTTTTTTTTTGAAAAATTCCATGTATGCAATAAGGGCCCATAATCGCGTTGATTTTTGGCCATTTTATCACGCAGTTTCGTCCATAAAAAAAAAAAAATTGGAACATACTTGGTATGGAAAAAATTTTTCTAAAAACTCTGATAAGAAAGTTAAAAATTAGTACGTAAATTTATTGAATTTCCCTGAGTTTTGTTCAAGTTTAGAGTTTTTATTTTTATGTTTTTTGTTGTAGTATGAACCATGTTTTTATAAAAAACTTGCGAAAAGTACTTAGAATAAAAAACTTGGTATTCATTGCGAAAAATTCTCTGTGACAATACTTTTGTTCGGGAGTGTATATAAGTAAACACGTAAATATGATAGTAATTTTCAAGGTTTTTGGGATTGGTGTCAAAAGTTTTCACTATTAAAAGAATGAATACATTACAATAGACATATTTCCGTTGCTACAGAAACTTAAACCCATTAAAAGTTAAGTAGCCATAATTTCTTTACTTGACTAAATCTGATATTGAAAAGCTTTACTTTCTGTTTTTAGGGCTTGTTTCCACTACGGCATTAATTTTCTTCACTCATTTTAACCCATGATCATTAATATTACTATGCCCCATAGAGAGCCAGATGCTCATGAATGTCTCTTCTTAACACCACTAATGAACTCATGCGATTTGAATGGAGGTCTTCTAAATTCGAAAACGGCTGTATTCTCTTATTTCTAATTTTTAAAAACTGAGTATTTGAAGAATCCGGGTATATACATAAATGTAAATCGTGGACCTTATTTCGAAAACGTGGATCGTCAATGCCCAGAGAGATGAATCTCTGAGGTACTTAAAAAATCTGCTCGCCTGCTCCATGACAGAACGTAAAGAGCCGTTAAACGTATATAAATTCTAAGGAGCTTGAACCATAAGAGACAAAATTGTTCATGGTCACTTCCACGTGAGTAGTTAGCCTTTTGTACAGAGAACCATCATCTGGAAGTAGAATTTGCTTAGATACCATTGGCTTTCAGTCCAATAAACCTTTAAACGCATACTAGATTTTTTAGCGAGACATTCTACCCCTAACGACACGAAGATCCTAGTACAGTATGACGAAATTGTTGGTATCTTAAGGTTAGGTGGGCTTAAGTTTGTTTAGGGTAGCTGCACTCGTCCTACTGCCGAGTAGAATTTGAATAACCTTAAGAGCCTGTTCAAGTAGACAGTTGAAGTCTAGGTGATCATTACCAGAGATCACAAGAGCTTAATCTAGATCCATTACATATTTATTCTCATTCATTCCCTCAATTAAAATATCCAAAATTTTTATTTGTTCGAGATAAACTCAGTGTTTTACTAAGCAGATTTTAGTGATATATGTTTTAAGG